CACGCACACACACACGCACACACACACACACACACACACACGCACACACACACACACACACGCACACACACACACACACACACACACGCAACCACACACAAACACACACACACGCACACACACACAACACACACACACACACACAACACACACAACACACACACCACACACACCACACACACAACACACACAACACACACAACACACACAACACACACAACACACAACACACAACACACACAACACACACAACACACACAACACAACACACAACACACACACACAACACACACAACACACACACACACACACAACCCGCACCACACACACACACACACGCAACACACACAAGAAGAGAAAGAACGCGCGCCAGGGAGGCACCCGCCGCGCGCGCGCGCGGGGCGCGCGCGCGGCGCCTCCTCCAAATGCAAATCGCCTGCGAAGCGCACGCGCCGCGGGGGCAGCGACCCCCCCCCGCGGCGACGCAACCCCGGCGCTAGCAAATCACCTGCGAAGCGCACGCGCCGCGGGGCAGCGACCCCCCCCCCGCGACGCGCAACCCTGGCGCGCGACGGCGCGATGGCCCGCGCCTGCGCAGCGAGGCCGCGGTCGCGTCGCACTGCCGCGCGCGCGACCTACGCGCAACCGTGGCCGATTTGTGCCCGCCCACAACGGTGAACGTCCGCGTCTGCGACAGGACTTGCCGCCGTGGGCCTACAAAAACACGCGGCCCAGAGCGTTCGAAGGGGAGGAGTTTGCAAATGCCGATCACCATACCTCGGAGGACGGTCACATCCTGAAGTTCGAACGTGCCATCTCTGTAGCCAGGAATGCCCGAGTTTTGAGGAGCTGCAGCGGCACCTCCAGGAGCGCGCACCGCCCCTCGACCTACTGCGCCTTGACACTCGGGATGGAGCTAGAGCCCGCCAGGTTCGCGCTCAAGCAGAAGCAACAGACAGATGGCGCCGAGGGGGTGTCGCAGGCCAAGAAGCACCGCACAGTGGAGGCGCTACTGCAAGGCGGCAACGGCAAGGACGACAGCGTTCTCGCTCGCCTCGTCGCAGTGCTGGCCAGGCTGGCGCTAACCAACGCAGCCGAACTACGGGACATCGCCGGACTGGTGTTCACCGCGCTGCTCCTGCCCATCGAGGGCGCCGTCGCCAAAGCCACGAAGGCCGCAGGCGCCACGTGCCACGAGACGGCGCAGGCACTCAAGAAGAGCAACGACGAGAAGGGACTCGAGGAGCTCGGCCCACCGTACGTCCACATCTTCATGGCAATGGTGATGGGCATCAACCAAGAGGCGTGCGAGCAGACGAGCAAGGAGACCATCTACCAGTTCTGGATGGCGTACATCAAGGACAAGGGGGCACAGGAGGTACAGGAGTCGGTGATGCACTGCAAGTGCCGCCCGACGAAGCCGAAGGATAACAAGCCAGGCATGGTGAAGCTGAGCCTCGCCCTCCACAGCAAGCACGCGGCGGTGCAGGACGCGCTGGTGGTGGAGCTGCGCCGCAGGAACGGAGTAGTGAAGAGGGGGCCAGCGCCCCGCGGCCGACTGGAGCGAGCGGCGCAGCAGCTAATGGACGAGTACGAGGGCGACACGAAGAAGGGCAAGGGCGGCAAAGAGTAGCACGCATGACGGCCAGCCAGCAGAATATCATCGCCAGACACTCGACCAGGTTACTGGAATTGGTGCAAAGAGGCGCTGTACCGCTACAGACAGCGCTGAGCCAAGCCATGGGAGCTATGACAATCGCTCCAGTACGACGTCGTACGAAACAAAAACATATTGCTCTCGACACTTGAGTTGGGAGGACCAATTCAATAAAGGGGATAGTGAGCTCGTCAGTCACACGCTGAAGGAGGCAGATGACACGAACTTGTTCCCAGTCATCGCGAACGCCTACTGAGTACGCTGCGCGTGCCCGCTGCCCCGCACCGCTGGAACAGATTCAGCTTTTAGAGTGTTTGGATGGAGTCCTCCTCCTCCCTCCCCTTGTGGGGACAATCCCCTATCCACGCCTCCTCGCACCTGCCAGGTGGTCGGCCTTCGGGTCTTGCCTTCGGGCTCCACCCGACAGGGGGCGGGGGGGCGGCGGAGAAGGGGATTGGCCTCGCCCTCGGAAGCCAAGGACTGCTGAAATCGCCGTTCCCCGAGTTTTTTCAACGTTCAGAGGCTCCTTATTGCCCTCGTGGCGCAGGGCAGCCCCTCAGTCCCCCACCACAGGGCGCTGCAGACTGCCTGTGGGCCCCCCCCCAGCATATGCGGCTGACTCCTAAACGTAGGCCCTCAGGGTAAGGTTAGAAAGCCAGCAAACTTTAACCCAGGTAAGGAGTGCTGGCCAGAGTGACCAACACACCTTTTTTTTTCAGGTGCTGACTTGTGGAACACTGCCCCTCAGAGCTTGATTGATTGATTGATTGATTGATTGATTGATTGATTGATTGATTGATATATATATATATATATATCGGTTTTATTCTTCTACGGTGGAAACCCATGCCAAGAAACACCCAGCTTGCTTCCAGGGTGCCCTGGGTTTCTTGAATTTCGATGGTTGTGCGACGGAAAGCGTGACGTTCCCGCGCCAACAACCAATGGACGTCCTGAGGTCTCGGGGTTGGGGTTCTTGTGGAAGGCTCCGTGTGGTCGAGCTCCTACTGTCTTTGACGCAGGCGCCGTGCACGTCTGATGCAGCAGCTGTCCCCCAAAGGCCCGGGGGGTAACACTAATTTATTTCCGCCCGCCGCCCCTCAGCACGACGACCTGCGCAAATCCTGGGCGATCCGATGCTACCGTGGCGCACCAGGCCCACCCAACACGAGTCCTGGGGTGCGGAACGGAGAATGGGGAGAAGGGGGAGGAGGAGGAGGAGAGGAGGAGGAGGACGGAGGAGGAGGGGTAGGAGGAGGAGGAAGAGGAAGAGGAGGCAGAGGAGGAGGAACAAAAGAGGCCCGAGGAGCAGGAGGAGCAGGAGGAGCAGGAAGAGCAGGAGGAGGAGGAGGATGAGGAAAAGGAGGAGGAGGAGGAGGAGGAGGATCTTCCATCGAATGCTTCTGGCACTGCGAATCTATCTCACGTGGCGCGCGGCGCCCGAAGGGGGCCCTGTTTTCTCCGCGGTTGGTTCCGGGGGGCGTGTGGGATCACGTGCGGTTTGCCCGCGAAACGGGGCCGAGAGGACGGCCGCTCTTCACGTTGGCGCCCAGTGTGCAGGGCCCGAAATCAACAGAAAATTGCTAGAGCAGCCGCCTTCGCAGCGCTGTGGCTCCAGACGGCCCTCCAGGTTGCTCTACGCGCCGCCACGCTGCTCTCAGGCAGGCTGTGCTGCCTGGCAACGGGGAACGAGAGGGGGAGACGCAGGCAGACGACGACGAACACGCTGGCAGGAGGCTGTGGCCGGCGGGGCGGGTGGGCAGGGCGAAGGGGGTCCTGGGCGGAGACAGCGGGCAGGGATCAGGAGAGAAGCAAGAGAAGCAACGAATGAGGAGAGGGAAATCAACCGCAAGCAGGCACGGCATGGAACAGCAGGAACGGGAGGAAGAAAGGGATGAAGACAAGGCGGAGGGGATGGGAAGCAATCGCAAGCAGACAGGCCGGGCCAGAGGCCAGGAGAGCAGCCGGCCGCGACGAAGCTACGGACCCTAAGGCGGCGACATGGGAGGGGGTGGCCAACCGAACCTATCACGCTGCGGCGTGGTGGGGAGAGCCCTCTGCGGGATCACCCGCCTCCCCGCCGAAGAAGGACGAACGGCACGTGTGAACGGTCACTGGCGCGATGTTGGCGAAAGGGCGCGGGGAGCGCCCGTGCTGCCCAGCAACGGCGGGCGGGGGAGGCGTGGGGCGCTAGGCGGCGCCATGGGCGGCGACCGCCGTGGAGGCAGCCGCTGCCGCGGCCAACCGGACCTCTGCCACCCCCGCGCCCCCCGACTGCGTTTGTAAGCGCCGCAACACCGCCCGCGCGCTCTCCGTGCGCAGGGTGTCGGAAAGTTGCCGGGCGTGTTTGTCCGTAACAAATGTGGCGTCTTCCCCCGTGGGGTTGCGCGGCCAGAACTCCGAAGGCTTTGCGTGGGTCGCGGCCCCACCCGCCGCCGTGGGCTTCCACCTTGTGCCGTGCACTGCCACGCGGTGTCCTGGTGTTGCCTTTTGAGCTCTTCGTGCCGCCCCGTCGCCGCGTTGGACGAAGCGGCCGACGCGGCGATGAGATCGGCGCGCAGCCCGGACGTGGCGGCAAAGTCCCAAACGGCTGCCCTGCCGTTGCGCCACTGGGGCAGGTAGACGTCGGCAAAGCGGCGGCCGTTGTCGTCCGACCACCCCGCCCTGCTCGCTCCCGGAGGTGGCCTCCCCGGCGGGGCGTTTGGGTAGCGGTTTCCGCCCTGGCGCGGCCGGCTTCCAGGGCGTCGACGAAACCCTCATCCACCACCACCACCACCACCACCACCACCACCACCACCACCACCACCACCACCACTTCACCACCACATCCTTCGTCCCGTCCTTCTCCCAAGACAGAAGGGAGGATGAGGACGGTAGAGGAGTGAGGGGGAGATGGAGGTGGTGGTGGTGGTGGTGGTGGTGGTGGTGGTGGTGGTGGTGGTGGTGGTGGTGGTGGTGGTGGTGGTGGTGGTGGTGGTGGTGGTGGTGGCGGTGGTGGTGGTGATGGTGGTGGTGTCTGTTACAGGGACCCGCACAGTTTCATGTCACGGGATTGGCCTCTCCGTGCCTTCGTGGGCCCGTCCTTTCCTTCGGAGAGCTCCATGGTACCGCATATTCTGGGTGGCGACACCTCCACGGTTCGGCGCGCGAGACGACATTCACGTCCCAGCCCCCGTGCGTCAACGTGCCGAGCCTTTCCCGATCCCCCGCCCCGCGGAACGGGACACGCTATTCAAGGCGTGGCGCGTGGCCAGGGCAGCCGCCGCGACGCGAAAAACAATCATTCCAGGCCGCAGCGGTGCCCTTCAACAAGGCTCTCGGGAGCGGGGGTCTGGGGCGGCAGGCGCACGAAGACCTGGGCGACCTCAGCACGACGGTGCAGAGCCTCAGCGACCAGCTGGCCGAGGCATATGCCGAGCTGCAGGCCGCGGAGGCCGGACCGCCCGCAGAGGAGCCGCCCGCGCGGCCAGCGCCGGTCGCCGGCGGTACAAAGGCATGTCCCTGAGGGCCCGGGGCCTTGCAATATTGTTGCAGTCGTGGTTGATATATGTCCGTCGCCTTCGGCCTATTCTAGTTTTTGCAGGTGGGAGCAGTTTTGCGGATCCCCCAGGACCGTCAGAAACGGACCTGGGATGAAAAGCTACTTCCAGGGACGTCCCCAGGACGACTCGTCGACATGGCTGGCAAACATTGAATTCTTTGTTCAGGGGGATGTAGGGGAATAAAAGCGTCAGTTGTACAGTAATCACGGAGGTGTTCGCTCGTCTTGAGCTCGTATGTGTGTATCTATAATGCAACTATACATGCATAACTGTAAGGGCTGCGCCCCCTGCCGCCAGCCACCCCTCTCTCGGATGGTAGAGTATGCAAGAGCTATGCTGTGAGGCCTGGTCGCGATCGTGAAGCAGCGTCGGAACTCCGAACGGGGGACACTTGATATATCCAGGTGCATCTTGCGCAATTTACAAGAGAGTAGTGTCTCGGAGACGCGAGCTTTGCATAATCTACGAGGGGATATGGTCTCGGGAGCGCGAACACGGCGTAATGTGCGAGGCTGTTTGGCCTCGGGGGCGCGAATGTTGTATACGCTTCTCGGGATTCTGGCTTCGGGGGCGCGAATCTGGTGGGCCAGGTGGTGGCCAGGCGGGGGGTCAGGGTTGGTTCAGGGCGCAGAGTTGTCGGGCGGGGGTCCCGAGAACAGGATCCAGAGGGTGGGGCGTGCCAGGGTGGGGGGTCAGGGTCAGGTCCGGGCCAGGGCTTGTCGGGTGGGTCAGTCAGTCAGTCAGTCAAGCCAGTCAAGCCACGCGCCAGGCAACGGCGCATCGGCAAGGAGTGTGGGGGGGTCCCAAAAATAGAGGTCCAGAGGGTGGGGAGGCAGGCTTGTCCGGTGGGGGGGTCACAGCGTGATGAGCGAGGTAGGCAGGCTTGTCGGGTGTGGGGTCCCAAACATAGAGGTCCATAGGGTGCAGAGTGGTTTCCGGGTGAGAAAATGTCACTTGGGGGGTGCCAAGAGCAGGATCAAGAGAGTGGGGTGTGCCCGGGCGACCAGATGGGGGTTTAGCATCGCTTCTGGGCGAGAATTTGTCGGGTGGGGTTCCCCATTAATAGGATCCAAAGGCCAGGTGGGGGGTCAGGGTCGAACAGGATCCAGAGGGTGGGGTGTGCCCGGGCGAGGTGGTGGCCAGGTGGGGGGTCAGGGTCGCTTCTGTGCGAGAAATTGTCGGGTGGGGGGTCTCAAGAACAGGATCCAGCGGGTGGGGTGTGCCGGGGCGAGTTGGTGGCCTGGTGGGGGGTCAGGGTCGCTTCCGGGCAAAAAAATATCGCGTGAGCAATGCCAGAGTAACGCAGTGTCTTGCCAGGAAGTGTGGTCGTGGTGGATCTCGTCAACAAAGGCACAGTTGAATCGCACACGCCTCAGGGGTCGGCGGACAGTTTTTCTTTTTATCAGTTGATGAATATATAAATGCACAGAAATGCATATATATATATATATAATTCCATAATTGTATATATATAATCAGTCAGATAAAAATGAGTATATATATAGAGCTATGAATACATATATATATACACGAATAGATGAATATATATAAAAATCATACGGTCAATACTGACTATATATATATACACATCGGCGAGTAGCGCCCAACGGCGCGCAACAGCGCCCAATAACGCCCAGTAGCCCTCGAATAGCGCCCAACAGCGTCCAAGAGTTGCACAATAGCGCCATGTGGGTGAGATACACTATGTGCGCGTTGCGCGGGATTTGGCGCGCTATTGGGCGCCGTGGGGGCGACCTGAAGCTTCCATGAGTTGCTGTCTGACATCAGACGAGAAGCAAAAAACGGCATGAACATGGACTTTTTGATCTCCGCGCGGATTTCTTGGATCTGCGGTGGACCTCCCTTGCGGCGCCTCCAGCGCTACCCCGCCGGCCCCGCCCATGGCGCGCTCCGCGCGCCAGGGAGGGGGGGTCGCAGATATCCAAGGAATCCGCGCGGAGCTCCAACAGCTTTTGTTTATGCAGCTCTTTCTGAAACGCGTGATCCGCGTTTCTGTCTTCAGGTCCCCATGTCTCAGCGCCCCGTTTTTGGTCGGATATAGCCAGGACCCCGGTCCAGGGGAGCCGGTTAGTGATTGGGCCCCGAAGTCCAGAATATGGATTGGAATCACCAAAGCAGGTCTGCCGTAGCTGGTGCTTTTCGGGTGACGGCAATTCCGGTTAGTGGAATGGGACGGGGAGGGGCGTTCCTGGTAGAAATCTTTAAGCCTGAACGGTTTCCTCCAGGGCCGTAGGCGACCCGAGGAAAGGATGGCGAGGAGGGGGGGAAGGAGGAGGAGGAGGAGGAGGAGGAGGAGGAGGAGGAGGAGGAGGGAGGAGGGAGGAGGAGGCGGAGGAGAAGGAGGAGGAGGCGAGGAGGAGGAGGGAGGAGGAGGAGGAGGAGGAGGAGGAGGAGGAGGAGGGAGGAGGAGGAGGAGGAGAAGGAGGACGGGTCGCCTCAGCCCTTCGGAGAAAGCTTCCAGGTCCCACTGAACCCAGTCCTGTCCTGCCATCCGCCGAGGTCGCGGCCGGCGTGCCCGCAGGGGGCGAGGGCGCCCTGGCCCAGCAGCTGGCCGCGGCGCAGCAGCGCCTGCAGGAGACCGCGGGGGGGGCCCAAGCGTTCGGGCGGCGAGATCAATAGACATATGCATACATACATATACATATACATATATACATATATATATATATATACACATACACACATAAATGAATCAATCCATTCAGAAGTACATACAGACAGACATCCATACATAAGTAAATAGCCACACACACACATATATATATATATATATATATATGTACACACAAGCATGTATATCCGCCGCTGGCCAGGCCCCACCCGGGCCCAGGATCTGTGTGAGTGCGCCTCCTTGGTCAGGCCCACGACAGGTTGTGCACACCGCTCCTGGGTCCCACAAACAGCTCGCCACCCTGCGCGAGCGGCGGGTCCGCGCCGCGCCGGCACAGCGACGACGCTCGCGCCGAGGCTCAAGGGTCAACGGGGCGCTTCTCTTTTGTAGGGCCTCCTCCTCCCCCTCCTCCTCCTCCCCCTCCTCCCCTCCTTCTCCTCTCCTCCTCCTCCTCCTCCTCCTCCTCCTCCTCCTCCTCCTCCTCTCCCTCCTCCTCTTCTTCCTCCTCCTCTCCTCTCCTCCCTCTTCTCCTCCTCCTCCTATCCTCCTCCTCCCTCCTCCCTCCTCCTCCTCCTCCTCCTCCTCCTTCTCCCCCTCGCTCGCCGCCGACTTCGGGACGACGGCGGCGGCCGCGGCGGCGGCCGCGGTGGCGGCGGGCGACGGCGCCGGGTGGGCGTCGGCCTCGTTTGCAGGGCCTCCAAGGTCAGGCAGTGGCGAAGCGTCCTGGTTTGCCTATAGGCCCACCAGAGACTGTTCTGGGAACCTGCTGTGGTCTGCGCGAAATTCTCTCAGAACCTTTCTGGCTGAGACTGTCTCGTTTTGACGCATCGGGCTTATGTCCTAAGATCATCGTGCTTGTTATCAGAAAAGAATTGGGTTCTACGATTCTTGCCGTGGTAGGCCTGTAGGAATGCCGGGACGGTTGGTCCCTCCTCAACTGGGGCGTTCTGGAATTATCGGGAGACATCCACAGGGCGTCGCGCCGCGTCGACCCGGCGGCGACGCCCTGCGCGGGCACTCGAGGGGAATGCTGGCCGTGGTCTGGGGGAGGCCAGCCTGGGACGATCTCCGCGGCTGGGTCGAGGAGATCGGGTAGACAGGAACAATTCGTGGACGCTGCCCCTTTGTGATCGTTTTCTCATTCGTTGGTTTGCCGATCGGCGCGGGCCCTCGCACCCCCCCCCCTCCCCCCCATGGAGTAGACCTTGGCTGTTTTGGGCTCCTGTCTCGAGCAGGTGGAGCCTGTCCCACAGGACGCACTTTTTCAAGCAGTCGCATTAAGCGGAGGTCCGGAGCCAGACCCCCCGCCCCCCCCCCCCTTCCGCCCAATGTCGAAACGCCGAAACGCCGACTAAGAAAATGCTCACCTTCCACTAATTTCGAAGTTGGAACGCGCGGAGGAGACTGCGGTCGAAGTGCAACTCATCAGACCCACCGCCAACCTTGGACACTGAGGGGTAGGGGGAGGCGTTGACCGATGAATGTGGCATCAGTGTTCGCTACAGTAGGAGCTCGACCACAAGAAACTTTTCACGAGAAACCCAACCTGAGACCCTAGGATGTCCATTGATGTTTGGTACGGAGACGTCACGTTTTCCATCGTAAAGCCATCGAAACCCAAGAAACCCAGGGCACCCTGGAGGCAAGCAGGGTGTTTCTTGGCATGGGTCGCCACTGTATTTGTTTCCGATGTCGCTCAGTATTGAGCGATCTGCTCGGTGTCAGAGGCCAACGTCCACGTCTCGGCACGGCAGGAGCCGGCCGTGCACCTTTCTTAGACGTGCCCCGGCCAGGTGTCTTTTGGGGGTCAGGTCTCGACCAGGGTCCGTTTCGGCCACGCGCAGAAGGTGGTATGGTGGAGGGGGGAAGGCTTCTTAGAAGCACCCCTGCTTCTCAGAAGGCGCGGGCCTTATCTATAGATGCAAGGCCGCCGCCTTCTAAGGAGCAGCCTGCTTCTGAGAAGCCTTGTGCGCGCCGCCAACAATTTTCGATCGGATCGATCCGATTCGATGCCGATTTGATTCCGATATTCCGACGATCCGATTTTCGGCGGCGAGCGAGGGGGAAGTGAGAAGGAGAAGGACTTCTCAGAAGGCGGCAGGACTTCTCAGGAGGCTTCGCTGAGAAGGCCCGCCCCTTCTCACTTCCCCCCGGGCTCGCTGCTGAGCTACGGCCCGATGCTGCATGACTCTGCTGTGCACTCTGGTGCAGCCGATCTGGGGCGAGTTCCCGACGCCGTGCCGGTGCGGCCCTATGGCCGATGCACACGTGGGCTCGTGCTGCCTCTGGCCGGAGCCGCGGCCGCTGCGGGCCTCCAGGGGGGGCCGCGTCTTCCCGGGGGAGCGCCCGGGGCTCTCCCGGGGACCGGGGGCCCCCGAACGGTGCGGGGGCCACACCGCGCGGTGAGTCGGTGGGTATATGCGGGGTCCCCGCGCGGCTCCGGGGCTCGGGCCGTTCTCCGTTGGGCGGCGGCCGCCGGAGCCCCAAAGCCGTGCGGAGGCGGGCCGCGCAGTGCGGTGTGTTGGGGTTGCCAGGTCACCGCGCGGTGCGCCGCCGCGCGGGTCCGGGACCCCCGAGAGGAGAGGGAGGCAGCGTGCGTCGAGATCGAGCTCCGGCTGGAGGAGGAGAGAAAGCGGCGGGAGGCCACCGAGAAGGACCACGCCGACCTGGATGCCACCACGCGCGAGCTGGGCGACCGGTTGAGCCAAGCCTACGCGGAGCTGACACAGGCAGAGGACCGTGGGCTGTTTGTCACCCGAATCGCCAGGGAGGGCCCTGGAACAAGTAACCAACCTCCCTGCAGGGCAAACCTTGACGGCCAAGACGCTGAAATAAGGAACACCGCTGAAATGAGACGCTTCACGTCCCTAGCCTGTCGGCCACGTGCAGAGGGGGCTGGGGGGAGGGCGGAGGGCTTCTTAGAAGCACCCCTGCCTCTTCGAAGGCGCGGGCCTTATCTGTAGATGTAAGGCCGGCGCCTTCTAAGAAGCAGCCGCCTTCTAAGAAGCCCTCCCTCCCTCTCTCTACCCCCTTATGCGCGCCGTCAAGCCTGTCGTTGCCTGCGGTGCCTGTACTGCGTCGTGTGTGCCTGGGGCTGCCTTCGTAGAGTTGTTGCATGTCGTTGCTCGCCGTGCGTGCGTCGCTTTGTGCGCGCGAAGACCGACGACGCGCGCGCTGGTCATCTAGCAAGCAGGGGGTCGTCGACAGGCAACCACTCAACCAAGGCACCCGCGGGAAGCGCGGGATGACGATGACGACGACCACGACGACGACGACGACGACGACGACAGGAGTCAATCTAAAGACCTTTGCGATCTTTCTTTCGGCATGCGAGCGTCTTGGAGGCCTCTTGGGGCCATCGTGGCGCCCTCTTGGGGCTGCCTTGGAGGCCTCTTGCGCCCTCTGGAAGCTTTCTTGTGACTCTCTTGGGGCGCTCCATGGGCTCTCTTGGGGCCCTCTTGGAGGCCTTGGGAGGCTTCTTGGGCGATCATGGACGCCATCTATCAAAGGGGTCGCCGATTTCCTCCCCGCCCTCACCCCGTCGCGACACGAACAATCACCTATGGCGGCCCTCTTGGGTCGGTATTGGACGATCTTGAGGCCGTCTTGGGGCCCTCCTGATTCCCTTTGGCCATCGTAGGAAGGATCTTGGAGCCATCTTGGGGCCTCGAGAGTCCATCGGAAAGCAACAGGCGAGACGTCAAACCACATTGAAAATTACACCGTCGTTTTGAAGGATGTTGGTCTCCTGGGGCCTCCTTGGGAGGCTCGGAGGGCACTTGGGGCTGTCCTGGGGCGGTATTGGGGGTGGAGACATGTTGGAGGATATCTCTCTGGGGCCCTCTTGGAGCCACCAGGTGCCAAAGAGGACCCTCTGACACCTCGCGGGACGGGTAGGGTTAGGGGGACCCTCCTCCCGAAGGGGATGGGGTTCGGGGGATCCTCCTCCCCGAAGGGGAAGAAGTGGATAGGGTTAGGGGTCGGGGGTAGGGATAGGGGGTAGGGTTAGGGGTAGGGGGTAGGGGGTAGGGTGACCCTTCTCCAGAAGGGGATCGGCACAGGGGTAGTGGGTAGGGTTGGGGGACCCTCCTCTTCCGAAGAGGAAGAACGGGGTTACATCAACGAGCTCCTCAGACCACTCACACCGTAAAGGACTGGTGGCATTAGGTTCTTCCATGGTTCTAGGCCTCCCAGATGGGGTCGTAGTAGATGGGGTCGGAGGATCGCGCCGCATCGCCGATGCATCGGCGATGCGGCTCGATGTGGAACCCGCGCTTCTCCACGCCGACGTCGCCAGTGCATCACCGACGTTGCCTGTGTATCGCCGATGCATTGCCGATACATCGCCGATGCATCGGTGATGCGGCGCGATCCTCCGACCACATCTACTCCGACCCCATCTATGAGGCCTCTAATGATTCTAATGGTGGTTCCCCCAGCGCTCCGAGTGCACCCGTGCGCTTTTGTGGACAAAAAGGGGTTTCCTTTTTTTCCTAACCATCCTGTGGTGTTGGGTCCTCGTTTTGAAGAGACGGTGCCCCGCGTCTCCTCTCCTCTCCTCACCTTCCTTCCTCCTCATCCGCCTCCTCCCCCCTCCCCCTCCGCGTCAGCCACACCCATTTCGGCACACCCCTCACACGTTTCGTGGCACCATAGGGAGCTCCACCGAGGGCCCCAGTGGCTGCGTTCGCATGGCGGCACCGCACACATTTCGGCACACCCTTCACACGCTTCGTGGCCCCATAGGGAGTTCGACCGAAGGCCCCACTGGCTGCGTTCTCATCGCGGCACTGCACCCATTTCGGCACACCCCTCACACGTTTCGTGGCCCCGCAGGGAGCTCCACCGAGGGCACCCGTGGCTGCGTTCGCACGGCGGCACCGCACCCATTTCGGCACACTCCTCACACGCTTCGTGGCACCACAGGGAGCTCCACCGAGGGCCCCAGTGGCTGCGTTCGCATGGCGGCACCGCACACATTTCGGCACACCCTTCACACGTTTCGTGGCCCCATAGGGAGCTCGACCGAAGGCCCCACTGGCTGCGTTCGCATGGCGGCACCGCGCCCATGTCGGCACACCCCTCACACGTTTCGTGGCCCCGTAGGGAGCTCCACCGAGGGCCCCAGTGGCTGCGTTCGCATTGCGGCACCGCACCCATTTCGGCACACCCCTCACACGCTTCGTGGCCCATAGGGAGCTCCACCGAAGGCCCCAGTGGCTGCGTTCGCACGGCGGCACCGACACCATTTCGGCACACCCCCTCACACGATTCGTGGCACCATAGGGAGCTCCACCGAGGGCACCCTGGCTGCGTTCGCATGGCGGCACCGCACACACATTTCGGCACACCTTCACACGTTTCGTGGCCCCATGGGGAGCTCACCGAACTTCATGACCCGCCCCCATTCGGCCCACACCCCACACGCTTCGTGGCCCCATAGGGAGCTCCACCGAGGGGCCCCAGTGGCTGCGTTCGCATGGCGGCACCTCCCATTTCGGCACACCCCTCACACGTTTCGTGGCACCATAGGGAGCTCCACCGAGGGCCCCAGTGGCTGCGTTCGCATGGCGGCACCGCACCCATTTCGGCACACCCTCACACGTTTCGTGGCCCCGCAGGGAGCTCCACCGAGGGCACCCGTGGCTGCGTTCGCATGGCGGCACCGCGCCCATTTCGGCACATAAGGAGCCCCACCGAGGGCTCCAGTGGCTGCGTTCGCATGGCGGCACCGCGCCCATTTCACACGCGTTTCGTGGCCCCCTAGGGAGCTCCACCGAGGGCTCCAGCGGCTGCGTTCGCATGGCGGCACCGCACACATTTCGGCACACCCCTCACACGTTTCGTGGCCCCATTGGGAGCTCCACCGAAGGCCCCAGTGGCTGCGTTCGCATGGCGGCACCGCACCCATTTCGGCACACCCCTCACACGTTCGTGGCCCCATAGGGAGCTCCACCGAAAGGCCCCAGTGGCTGCGTTCGCATGGCGGCACCGCACCCATTTCGGCACACCCCTCACACGTGGCCCCATAGGGAGCTCCACCGTGGCTTCGTTTCGGTTTCGTGGCCCATAAGGAGCTCCACCGAGGGCTCCAGTGGCTGCGTTCGCGTGGCTGCACCGCACCCATTTCGGCACACCCCTCACACGCTTCGTGGCCCCATAAAAGGGCTCCACCGAGGGCTCCAGCGGCTGCGTTCGCATGGCGGCACCGCGCCCATTTCGGCACACCCCTCACACGCTTCGTGGCCCCATAGGGAGCTCCACCGAGGGCCCCACTGGCTGCGTTCGCATGGCGGCACCGCGCCCATTTCGGCACACCCCTCACACGCGTTGCCCCATAGGGAGCTCCGAGGGCCCCCGTGGCTGCGTTCGCATGGCGGCACCGCACTCATTTCGGCACACCCCTCACACGTTTCGTGGCCCCCTAGGGAGCTCCACCGAGGGCCCCAGTGGCTGCGTTCGCATGGCGACACCGCACTCATTTCGGCACACCCCTCACACGTTTCGTGGCCCCATAGGGAGCTCCACCGGGGGGCCCCGTGGCTGCGTTCGCTTGGCGGCACCGCGCCCATTTCGGCACACCCCTCACACGCTTCGTGGCCCCATAGGGAGCCCCACCGAGGGTTCCCCGTGGCTGCGTTCGCATGGCGGCACCGCGCCCATTTCGGCACACCCTTCACACGTTTCGTGGCCCCATAGGGAGCTCCACCGGGGGCCCCAGTGGCTGCGTTCGTATGGCGGCACCGCACCCATTTCGGGGCACCCCTCACACGTTTCGTGGCCTCATAGGGAGCTCCGCCGAGGGCTCCAATGGCTGCGTTCGCACGGCGGCACCGCGCCCATTTCGGGGCACCCCTCACACGTTTCGTGGCCCCATAAGGAGCTCCACCGAGGGTTCCAGTGGCTGCGTTCGCATGGCGGCACCGCGCCCATTTCGGGACACCCCTTACACGCTACGTGGCCCCATAGGGAGCTCCACCGAGGGCCCCAGTGGCTGCGTCCGCATGGCGACACCGCGCCCATTTCGGCACACCCCTCACACGCTTCGTGGCCCCATAAGGAGCTCCACCGAGGGCTCCAATGGCTGCGTTCGCATGGCGGCACCGCACCCATTTCGGCACACCTCTCACACGTTTCGTTGCCCCTTAGGGAGTTCCCTCTCATTCGCCCAACCTGCTTTGCGGTACTCGCAACTGCATATGGTTGGGTCCATCGCCAGGATAATTTTCGCATGGGAGTAGCTTGACTGTGTGTCTCAAGCACTCAAATGTCAGTGGCTCGGTCGTGTCTTGGCTTCGGGAGGGCCTGGCTGGTGAGTCATGCTGCCAAGCTGCAGTGCGGCCTCAGCGGAGACGTCTGCAGGACGGCAATCGGTAACTAGGACGCACCGCGCACAGATACAGCCAAGACGCTGAAATAAGGACCGCTTTGGGTTCGGAAGGGGCTCGAGGTTCGGAACGTTTCTTAGATTCATGTCGCGGGATTTGCTTGTGGCCACAAGAGCCCCTCTGTTCCGTATTTGGCGTTCCTTCTGGTAGTACCTCGACCGCAGAGGTCGGACCTCCATGCCGCTGGCTGGGCCTGTGTGGCCAGCCCGGCCACGGGCGGAGGACGACATCCGCGGGAGGGACGCGGCGCTGGACAGCCTGCAGGCCACCTTCTCGGAGGAGCGCAGGCGCTGGCAGCAGCGGGAACGCCAGCTCGAGGACCGCGGGGACGGAGAGCAAATGCCACTCAGGAGGGAAGAACACACAGACACAATGAATCGTCGATTCCCCAGAAAGTATGGGACAATATGGGAAGTGGGGGGGGGGAAGACAAACACCCAGAAAACATAGCACGGTGGGGCTCCTCCGTCGGGGTGCCAGCAGCGGTGTGGTGGCCACACCGCGTGGGCCGGTGGGCGTGCGGGGCCACCGCGCGGTTTTGGGGGGCTCGGGTCTCGCTCCGAGGACGTCTCGGGCGATCGGGGCCTCCGAGGTCGAGAGGCCGCGCGGCGTAACGAACCGCGCGGTGAGGTCGACTGGGGTTTCGAGGCCCCCGCGCGGCCCGTCACCGCACGGTCTTTGGACTCCCGAGTCATCGGGGGTGCCACAGCAAGGGCGGGGGGCCGGGGGGCCAGAGGGGGGTGGGGGGGTGGGGCTGGGCCATTGCGTTGCGGCGGGCTTCTCCCTTCAGAGGTATTCGAACCCACCAGTCCCCGACTGTTTCGTTTCCCTCGATGGCTGGGGTTCAGGAGCCATCGTCGCCGCGCAATCCAATCGAAGCAGTCGCGTCTCCTTGTCTCGTTAATGACCTGCCCGCTCTCACCCCACCCCCCTGAACCTCGGAAGCGGCTTGTGGTTCTGAAGCTTAGGAGCGGGGGGCCTCGTCCTCGGCCTTGCGTCGTTGTCGTCGTCGTCGTCGTCGTCCGTCGTCCGTCGTCCTCCGTCGTCCGTCGTCCTCCGTCGTCCGTCGGCAGTCGTCCGTGCTGCTTATTTTGATGACGATGACGATTCTGATGACGAGGCTGGTAATGATGATGTTGTTGCTGATGCTGATTGAGAGCATCATGGTAATATTATGGTGAGGATGATGGTGGTGATGATGATGGTGGGAATGGGTTTGTTGATTGCGGTGATACGGGTAGTCATGGTGACTATGACCACGACAGCGACGGTGATGTTGATGACCATCAATGTGATGGTGATGGTGATCATGATGATGCTGATGATGATGATGATGCTGATGATGATGATGATGATGATGCCGATGACGATGCCGATGGCGATGCTTCTGAGGACGACGATACTGCTGTTGTTGTTTATGCTGGTGATGATGGTGATGGTGATGATGATGGTGGTGGTGATGATGCTGGTGGTGGTGATGATAACGATGATACTGATAGTGTTGGCAGTGGCGATGATGCTGACTATTGCGATGAATGTGCTGATGATGGCGGTGATGTTGATGATGATTGGTGATGGCGATGGTGACTACGTATTAGGATAGCGATGATGACGGCGATGCTAATGATTATGCTGATGTTGATGCTGCTGCTGATGTTGATGATGCTGATGTTGATGTTGATGATGCTGTTGTTGATGATGATGAAGATGTCGATGCTGCAGTTGCTGATGATGATGACGATACTGATGCTGACGATCATGATGATGACGACGGTGCGGATGCTGACTATGTCGCCGAGCTCATGGAATAAGGGGGATGCTGTTGGAGGGATGGTGGGGGCGGGGAGGGTGGAGGGATGTAGGACGGACGCTTTGAGGGAGCAAAGGATGAGGGATAGCCACGAGTAGGACGAGGAGGAAGGTGAGGAGCAGGGGCAGGGATGCTATCAGCAAAGGGATTGGGGAGGATGGCGATGATGAGCAGAATGAGCATCGGGACGAGGACGGCGAGAATGAGAGTGAGGGTCATACTGAGGAGATGGAGGCAGATGAGGTTGGCAGGATCATGTTTCGAGGCGAACTTCTGCCTCTCTCCGCTGGTCTCCTCCCATGTGCCTGGGCCTTACTAGAGGCTTTTTACATACAGTTCCTTGGTAAGGATTATTCCCAACCATCTTGTGGTGTTGGGTCTTCGTTTTGAAGAAACAGCGCCCCGCGTTCCTCCTCCTCCTTCCTTCCTCCTCCCCCTCCTCCTGCCCCTCCTCCTTCTCCTCCTCCTCCCTTCTCCCCCTCCCTGCCTCTGCTCTCCGCAGGCCGCAGGCCCATCTCATTTCGGCACTCCCCTTTCACGTTTCGTGGCCCCACATGGAGCTCCACCTCGGCACACAACTCACTCGCTTCGTGGTCCCGTAAGGAGCCCACCTAAGGCTCCAGTGGGACAGTTCGCATCGCACCGCCGCCCCATTTCGGCACACCCCTCACTCGTTTCGTGCCCACATAGGGAGCTCCACCGAAGGCCGCAGCTGGAAAGTTCGCATGGCACCGCCGCCCTATTTCGGCTCACACCTCACACGTTTCGTAGCCCACGAGGAGCCACCGAAGGCCCCAGTGGGAAAGTTCGCATGGCACCGCCGCCGCATTTCAGCAAACGCCTCACTCGTTTCTGGCCTCATAGGGAGCTCCACCGAGGGCTCCAGTGGGAAAATTTACATGGCACCGCCGCCCCATTTCGGCACACACCTCACACGTTTCGTGGCCCCATGAGAAGCCCCACCTAAGGCTCCAGTGGGAAAGTTAGCATGGCACCGCCGCCCCATTTCAGCAAACCCCTCACTCGTTTCGCGGCCACATAGGGAGCTCCACCGAGGTCCCCAGTTGGAAAGTTTGCATGGCACCGCCGCCCGTTTTCGGCACACCCCTCGCACGTTTCGTGGCCCCACAGGGAGCTCCACCTAAGGCCCCAGTGGGAAAATTCGCATGGCACCGCCGCCGCATTTCGGCACACCCCTCACACGCTTCGTGGACCCATAGGGAGCTCCACCAAGGGCCCCAGTGGGAAAGTTCGCATGGCCGTGCACCAGGTTGGCCGAGGCCGCACAGAGAGCTGAACGTGCTGAAATTGTTGGACAAGGTTGCTAAGCGTGTTCTCCGATTGGAAAAGAAGCCGGACATGGCCATGGACCACTACAAGGAGCACGCGGCTAGCCTTTCAGAGGCTTTCGTCCCGCAAGAAGCGGTTGCCAATGATCTTGCCCCAGAACCTGTTCGGCGGCCTGAACTGGGGAAGTTGGACGTACGCGAGTTCTCGGACAAGAAGGCGGAAATCAAGCTCAGCTTGGGAGGTCTCTTCGAAGACGTGGGCTTGGAGGAGCAAGATCGCATCGAGTTTGAGCGTCGGAAGCCATCTTTCGAGGACGAGTTCAGGGCCGCGCTTGCTTCACAGCTCAGTCAAATGGTTGCAACGTTGGCCGAGCAGCAGCAGGAAACGGTGGAGGAATTGGGTTCCTGGCAGGCTACCAAGAAGCGCAATCGCCAGGGCCAGCGTCTCCACACACAGGTGACGAAGTAGCTGGGACGGGAGCGGCAGCTCCCACTGCAGCGGCAGTGCCTGCAGGCTCCACGGCGGCACCTCAGTCTACTACAGGGACATCTACGCGGTCGCCGTTTCCTTCATCTTGGCAAGATGTTGATCAAGTGGCGACGGACAAGAAGAAGGAGCTCAAGGCCATCCTGGAACAGACCCTCACAGCCAAGAGGACCCCGTCGCCGAGTGTTTGATGATAGCCCACCATCGGCAGAACTCCGGCCCCCGTCCAGCCTTGGACTGGTCGCAGCGCAGAGGGAGGCCAGTGAAGAGGGATCGTCGGGCAGATCTACTTCGGGTACGGCGGCTTTCTCAACAGCGTGCGGGTTATTCCAGGGGGTGGCTCCTTCTGAGACCCCTGGCAGCTACATCAAGGGCTTGCGCTTATTCAGGGGGTGGCCCCTATCGGTGCCCTTGGCAAGGACTTGGATGATACGCGCTACTACGACCCAGAGGTGTTTCAGGGAGTGACTCTTCTTGAGACTGGCACACCGGGGGGTGGCCCCTCTTGGGGCCCCTGGCAAGGGCTGGGAGACGAAGCTCGTCTTCGACCCAGATGCGATCCAGGCGGCGGCCCCCCTTGGGACCCCTGGCACGGACAACGATGGCGCGGTCGAATGCTTCAAAGATGACCACCAGGGGGTGGCCCCTCTCGGGGCCCCTGGCTTCGACTGGGATGCTGTTTACCTTGAGCTGCGCGGCCAAATCTTCCACGGAGGGCAGGATTGCTTTCTCTTTTGGGAAGATGAGATATCGTTCTCAGGGTGGACGGTATATTGGAAGCTTGTTTTCTCTGAGGCGTCAGCAACATCCAGGTTCGCCCTGGTTTCGTCGCTGCAGCCGGCTTGCCCCCAGGGCGCCCAGTCCGCAGGAGGCCGAGGATGACAGTCGCGTGGGACAAGTGGCCAGCCGTTTTGCTGGACGCAGTGCGAATGGGTAGATGGCCACCACATGTTCCGTTGCCCAGGGCCGACAATCCTGCGCGGGAGCGGCGATTGCTACGTGATGGGATGACAGCTACAGCAGAGAGATGGATCCACAATATCCGAGGCGAGAGATTCAACTGCGTTGAGCACTGGAGAGAATGGTGCGGACCGTACTTCGTCGAGGCCTTTCACGCAGATCACGGCGGGCGATGCGCGCGAACTTCTATGGGCGTTGTTTGGCGGAGATCGCCGAGATGTTGCGCGCTGAAGTTTGGATCCGGGCCGAAACTCATCGACTCATCGTGCATTTTTCCTTGTGGGTCTCAATGGCATCAGGGGCAGGGATCAATGCCGTAGGTTTGTCAGATGGCACTATCAAGACCTCCGGGAACTGCGTCGTCGATTCAGGCGCTTGCTTGGGGATCGAGCACCACCCGGTCGGCCTCTCCCAGACGGTGATGAGGATAGTGATGTGGGCGATCTAGCCCAAGATAGGGCTAACCTGGTCTGGAGTTGGGTCTTTCACCTTGGGTCAGTTTACCATTTCCTCTGACGTGGGCCATGGATCGGACACTGGGACTGGGAAGCAGGCAGCGAAGGCAGAAGGTTCACCTCAAGGGGACGGAGGCGCGAAATTCCGCATTTACATGCGAAACATGTCGACGCGGGGCCCTTCGGCAAAGCAGCTACTGAAGCGACCTTACGACGCGGTCATCACCCAGGAAACTCGCATGGACATGTCGGAGACGAACGATGTGTTGGTGGAGTTTGATAAAGCGGGCTACAAGAGCACGGTTTGCCCTGCAGGTGCTGAATCGGCGCGCTTCACTTCGAAGGCAGGTGGGGTCGCTGTGGGAGTCTCCAAGAAATCGGCATCTTGGCCGTTGCGACATCATGCCTCGAACATGGGCGACTTACCAGGCAAAAGAGTCGACAAACACAAGAAGGACCAGAACATCGCCACGGGCGTTCGGTTCAAAGACTTGGTAGGGATGCAGGTACTCTTGACGGGCGCGCACATCGCGATCTTTGTCGGCTACCTCTACAACGGATGGGGGATTGCAGGAGCCAGTGTGGAGAAGTTGCGTCATATGGTGTCGTTGGTGTCACCGTTACCCACACCATGGGTTGTCTTGTGTGACTGGAATTTCCCGCCTGAAGCTCTTCGGACATCAGGGCGACTCAACTTGGTGCAGGGAACCATACTGGTTGCCGACAGTGTGGATTGCACGTGCACTGGTGGGCAAGGTGCATTCATCAACTACGTGGTGGTATCAGGGTTTGCTTTTGAGTACCTTGAACGGGCACGCGCGCATGCTGATATGGTTGGTGAAGGGGGCAAGGCCCATGATGGCGTTGCGCTGGATCACTCGTTGGGGGCCGACGAAGCAGAAGGACGCGCGCTGGGACTTCCCAAGGCCTCCGGACCACCCAATCTGCCGAAGAACAGGACCGACCCGAACAGTAAGCGCACCGGGAGCTGGTGGTGGTGGCTACCCCGACGGCTACGAGGCCCAAAGTACTTGCGCTGGGATCTCGCAAGAGATTGGGGATCAAGGCGCCGCCGCCCTTCTACTACCTGGGCCCTACGGACTTAGGGGAGGAGTCGGAGTTCGATGACGAGGAGGAGGACGACGAGCACCCACTACCTGAGGATGAACCAGGAGAAGACGTAGCCCCACCAGCAGTTGATGACGGTTTGGACGAGAAGTGGTCTTTGCGCAACAGAGAGGCGCGGGGCTCGATCGTCATCTTCAACAACAAAAGATGGTCAACACTCCCTGGTTACGCTCGAGACTCGCTTGCGTGGCATCGCACGGCCGACAGTGTTTCTTCCGTGGGACATCAATTTGGCAAGTGGGTCAGCAAGATGGGTGGGTGTGCGTGTGCGCGCGTGTGGTGTGGTGGTGGCGGTGCGGGGTGGTGGTGGTGGGGGTGGGTGGGGGGGGGGGTGGGTGGGCGATTTCAGCGTTCTATTAGATGGTGAGGGATTAGACAAGGACGGGAAAGCCCAGCGTGTTAGAGGCATTGCCCGCTCGGTTAGGATCAACAAAGTTGTGTCTTCTCTTCCTTTTACTTGGACTCGGGACCCTGGGGCGGCTTGGTCGGCTAAATTTGCGTTCTTGCTTGAGGAACTTGACGGGGCCACCTCGCAGCGTGGGGCCCCCAGGTTCAGCAAGCTCATCAACAGACTGAGGGATGCGACAGCGAGCGCGCCCACTTCCACCCTGGCCTCTTTGCCGAGGAAGGAGAAGCAGTCATGGCGCAGGAAGCTTCGCATGTTGAGCTCTGCCACGAATCACATTTTCCGCAAATGCAAGGGGGGCTGCAGCAATATTGCCAGCAGTCTACGACTAATAGAGTGCTACTCACAGTATCTAGCGTTCTCGCAATGGGCGGAGGTGCAGCACATTGCGGCGCCTGGCAAGTTATTCCGACTTATCAAGCATAAGCAAGCAGCGAAGGACGAGGTCGCGGACGGTCTGAATGTCTCTTCCGGTCTGCTCACGGCGATGGATATCAGAGCGAAGTCCTGGCGAAAGAAGTGGAGTGATCCTTCTTTGGATGTCGAGAAGGCGTCGTGTCTTCCGAGCACTTTGCGCGACCGCTTCAGGGGGGCCCCTTTCCCCGCATTTCGATTTGGAGACGCCGGAGGAAAGCGTCATTGGGATGAAGCGCGCCTCGGGCAAGGGCATCGAGCAGCTGGGCAAGAAGATCTGGTTTGGCTTCCAGAGCAAGGGAAGTTGGAGTTGGTGCATTTATCTCAGCAGATTGAGAAGGACATTGCCTGGCCTTGGCAGCCCACAGTAGTATTGGTGACTCTCGCGAGGAAACCTTCCAGCGTCGACGGGGCCATCGGGGTGCTGTTCGACCGTGCGAGGCTGTGGTCTACTTGTCGAGGTGACTACCGTGCCAGCTGGACTCGTGATAGGGCTGGGCTTTGGGGCGCTGCTGTGACGGGATCGCCTGCCTCGCGCGAGGCCCTGATGCGCAGCTGCCTGGGCGAGACGGTGGCTCTATCTGAGATTCAAGGCTGGGCGCAGGCAAGTACGATGTGGAAATGGAAGAAGTTCCACGACAGCCCCAAGTGGAAGCTATTGCTTGAATCAGGTCTGGATCATGAGTTTCCCCTGGCATACTGGCTTTGAAGATGATCCTGCACGCGGGAGTCCGCTTCTTACGGGATAAGCGGGTAGCACTCCGACGCCATCATCCCCGAGCAGAACATGATTGCGGGCTTGGGAGGTGCAGTTGATTTCTCAAGGTGTGCGTTGTACAACATTCTTGACCGAGTAGCCCGAGGTAAGCCAGGGGTGGCTAAGCGGTCCTGGGTTGACGATGCTTCTCAGCGTGTGGGAGGGAGTTACCAGAGGGTCTTTGGTCTGGCCTTGCAGGCAGGACTCACATCTGCCAAAGGATGTTCCGGCGCGGGTTTGGTTATTTCGATTAAATCTACCATCGTCTCCAATCAAACTGACCCGGGGAAAGTTCTTCAGAAAGGTTTTGCCACGGAAGGCTTCGCGGTCAAGCTTGAGAGCGTCGCCGCGGACCTTGGCCTCGATCGGGGCGCAGTTGGTTTCCGACGCCCTAAGCGTGCTCATTGTCGACGGGGAGCACAGAATCGGTTCAACCGTGTCAAGCGCTTTGCACAGGGAGCTGCTCGGAAGAAGATAGGTGCCAAGCTCGCTACGATGGGTGTCTTTCCGGCGGCGGACTATTCGGACGAGGCGTTCGTCGCGGCCCCCTCAGTTATCAACAGCTGGAGGAAGGCGCTCGGGCAGACCCTGGCCAAGAAGTGGCCTGGTCGTTGCCTTGCCACATTGCTGCAACTTCGAGTGGGGAGGAAGGGTCCGCAGTGCCAGATTGTGCACAGGCTGATTGAATCGTGGGTGGCTGTCAGATTCAATCCCGGGTTCGGTCTGGAACTGGCTCGACGAACGCGGCGCGCGGCTAGGAGGAGGATCGACAACAGGGCGCAGAAAGGCAGATGGCGTGGCATCACTGGAGTGGTTTCTGCTACGATCACCACGCTATTGGACATCGGCTGGGGCCATGTGGGTCCTCGGGCGTGGATATCAGAGACTGGGGGGCGCTTCGTGGCACCAGACAGCATCATGGGGAAAGTGCCCCAGGACATGGGCGCCCTCAAAGACGCCATCTCGGACGCCATCGATAGGTTACTATGGGGCAAGGCTTGGGGGCACTGGAATGGCAAGGGCCTAACAGAAGGAGCTGATCTACGAGATGTGCGTCGGCGCCTCACTTTCTTGCGGAAGAGAAGTGCACCCGAGATGGTAGGTGTCATCGAAGCAGTCATGACGGGAGCCTTTTGGACATGCTGCAGGATAGCCACCCTGAGCAGCAGCAAGTTTGTCTCCACGGGCCGCCAGAGATGCGCTTGCGGCGAGGAGGAGACGGATCTCCATCGCAGCTGGGTTTGTTCCTGCACTGGCTTCTTTTCTACCATCTCTCAGACACTGATCCGTCGTGCTCAGGAGGATCATGAAGCGCTCCCTTGCCCCTGGCTTCGAGGATTCTTGCCTTCGTCGCGGACGCAAGTGGATGAGCCGACTGATGCACCGTTCGACGAGGTTATGGGCCACAAAGGTGTATTTTCACGGGCGCGGGCAACTACGCGTCGGGGGCGATGCGCCTGGTGGTGCTCAAACTGGAGACGCACGGCTTCGGCGGATTGGTTGGTCGTGCCAAGTTATCCAGGTCTTCCGCGAACTTGCTTTGGACTTCAAGCTGTTGCATTCCCGATGAGGGGGGGGGGGGGGGGGGGCATTCCCTTGAAACAAACCATCAACAGGGGGGAGACGACGGCCCTGCTCAGGGCTGTGGAGGATCTTTCGAGGCGTGGTGTGCCCATCATTTTTGCCACGAACTCGGGCTGCGTCGTGAAGGGCATCGCCGAGCTCAATGCAGGTCGGCCCCCTTGCGACCAAGTGGGACCTCTGGTTAAAGTTGAAGCAGGTGTTGATGTCACGCCCGTCACTACTCAGAGTTGTCAAAATCGAGGAGCCACATGCGAATTGAAGACGCGGCGAACTCTGGCACCACAGTGGAGCACGACCTGGCCAACGCGATGGCCGATGAAGCTGCAGGCTTTTGGGCTACGAAATGCGCGGTTCCAGATACGGTGGTGGCAGCTGTGGAGCACGCCGAGGCGATTGGCAGAGCAGCGCGGAAGCACCTGGCCAAGGCTTTCATGGCAGCAGCGGGGGCGGAACCGAAGAGACTGCGGCCAACGCGTTCTATGGCGGCGTGTTTTCGGCGCAAAGTCACGATGTCCGAGCATCAGGTGTGCGCTGGCATGGGAACGGCCTTCCATTGCTCTGCTTGTGGGCGCAGTGCCCGTGGTTGGGAGCTGGGGAAGTTTCTGGAGACGCCCTGCCTAAGCGGCGTTGTCAAGGACAGTATCCAGCGAGTCGATGACTTTGGGGCGTTGGTGCAAGGAGTACCGATACACGAATCTCATCTGCTGTGGTACTTCAGTGGCCCGCAGATCCACGCGCGCTTGAAGTCTGGTCGTGTCGACAAGCATTTCTTGAGAGGACTGGTGGATGAGTGCAGCGGTCATCTTGGGCACTACGGATATCATAACCTGGGCAAGCTGGCGCGCGGCATTCTCCCGAAGGGACGTGTCATGATCACCCGCAAGCCGGCCAGTACCAGCAGCTTCTCATTCTATTCCAGCTGCTACTTTTACTTCTCAGATCATGTTGATGTATGGTGGCCGCGGTGGTTTTCATGGTAGTTGGTCTCCAACCTCGAGGGCGGCTTCGGCGCGCTGTATCGCTGGGGGTGGCCCCTCCTGGGGCTCCAGCCATGTGCTGCGGCGAGGCGCCCATATTCCTGGGGGTGGCCCCTCCTGGGACCCCAGGTGGCAGCCGTGGAGAACGTCGTTCAGTATTTAGGCAAGCTTGCACGTGGCATTCTCCTGGAGGGACGTGCCGTGTATAAGTGCAAGACGCCCAGTCCCAGCAGCTTCTAACTTCCTTCTGCTCAGCTGCTACTTTTACTTCAGGTCATTGTGGTCGTTTGGAGGCTACTGTGGTTTTCATGGTGGCAGCCTCCCTTTTTCGAGGACGGCCTCGGCGTGCCGGTATTGCTGGGGGTGGCCCCTCTTGGGGCCCCAGTCAGGTACTTCGTCGAGGTCATTCTTGGGGGTGGCCCCTCCTGGGACCCCAGGTGGCAGTCGCGGCTGAGCGGCTGCCTGTCCTGCTCCTTGCTCCTTCCCTCGCCCGCGCGTGTCTCAGCTTGGCTTCGGCTTCGGAGGAGAGGCGCTCGCGGCCCGCGGAGTATTAAATCATCCGATCATTATCAGCATCCTCATCGTCACCGTGATCGCTGTCATCAGCATCATCATCAACCTCATGGCCGTCATCGCCATCATCATCAGCATCATCATCATCAGTATCATCATAATGACCATCATCATCACAATCATCGCCATCATCACTATCATCGTCATCGTCTTCGTCACACCCCTCACGCGCTTCGTGGCCCCAGTGAGAGCTCCACCAACAGTCCCAGTGGCGCAGTCCGCATGGTGGCGCCGCCCCATTCTGGCACACCCATCACACATTTCGTGGCCGCAAAGGGGGCTCCACCTCAGGTCCCAGTGGCGCAGTCCGCATGGCGGCGCCGCCCCATTTTGGCACCCCCTTGGCACGCTTCGTTGTTCCAGCGGGAGCTCCACCTAAGGCCCCAATGGCGTAGTCCGCACGGCGGTGCCGCCCCATCCGGGGACAACCCTCGCAAGTTTCGTGGCCCCATAGGGAACTCCTCTTAGGGTCCCAGTGGCGCAGGCCGCATAGCGGCGCCGCCAAATTTTGGCACGCCCCTCTCACGCTTCGTTGCCCCATGGGGAGCTCCACCTGAGGTCCCAGTGGCGAAGTCCGCATCGCGGCGCCGCCCCATTTTGGAACACCCCTCACACGTTTCGTGGCCCCAAAGGGATCACCATTTCAGGTACCAGTGGCGCAGTCCGCATGGTGGCGCCGCCCCTATTTTGGAGCACGAACCCCTCACACGCTTCGTGGCCCCATAGGGAGCCCTCGTCCGCATGGCGGCGCCGGTCCATTCTGGCACACCCGTCACACGCTTCGTGGCCCCAAAGGGAGCTCCACTTAAGGTGTCAATTGCGCAGTCCGCATGGCGGCGCCGCCCCATTCTGGCACCCTTCACGCGCTTGCTGGCCCCATTGGGAGGTCCACCTAAGGACCCAGTGGCGCAGTCAGCATGGCGGCGCCGCCCAATTCGGGCACAATCCTCACACGTTTCGTTGACCCATAGAGAGCTCCGCCTTGCTCCTCCTCTACCCCCGTCGCGGGGCGTATCGCCGATCGAAGTATGTTGGCAGTTAACTTGGTCACGCCCGCGTGGCTTCGACACGGAGTGTTCGCTTTGCGCACGCGCTTTCGGACGGTCGCACGTACTCCGGACATGGCGGTCCGCATGGCGGCCCGCCCCATTTCGGCACACTCTTCAGGCGCTTCGTGGCCCCATAAGGAGTTCCACCGAAGGCGATGCTAACAACGACGGTATCCGCAACTGAATATGGTTGGGTCCTTCGCCAGGCTAATTGTACTCTGTTGCAGCGGTCTTGGGGCTTCCTGGGCCGTTCAGGGCGGTCGGCAGCTCGAAACGGCGGTACCGTCAAATCGTCAGAGAACCGGCGTAAAATAATTAATTGTTGCGTCTTCGGGACCTCTCGAAGTCCTTTTGGAAATCTCTTGGAGCGTCTTGGGCGCTTTTGGGCCGTCTTGGAACCAACGGGTGCCATCTTGGAACGCTCTTGGCCTGAGGCCGTGGGCCGGGCCACCCTTTTGGCGCCTCCCTGGGGCGCTCGAGGGGCCCCCGAGGCCGCGCCCAGAAGTTCGGCATCTCTGCTTCGAACCTGCGTGGCCTGAGCTGCCTCGATAATACGCCAGTTTTGATACGCAACACGTACCGATTTCAAAACGTCCGTGTCAATACGTTGCGTGTCGGCTCAGCGTATTGGTCCACGTTTCGGTGGAAGTATCGTGCCAGACCTACGTTTTCAGTCTACGTGTTGCGCCCCGTATGGATACGCCGCGTGTCGCGTGTTCCGTATCGGGGCAGCTAAGGCGTGTTGCGTATCGGGGCAGCCAAGGCAGGGACCTTGGTGGGACTTTGCGGGTGTACCTTTCGTTTGAGGACCCCCGGGGCCGCGATGCGCACGCGAATTAGAAACATGATTGAAATCTCACTGGAAATTTCAGCACGCCTCTGGCCTGCTGTGCCAGCGAAGGGAGGGTGTCATACCCTGGGCCAAGCAGAGGCCGAGCTTGCGTTGGGACGACATGGCTTGCGAGGTCTCGGCGCTTGTAGGCACTTCAGCCTCGTCCACGGTATTTGGCAATGGACTTGGTGCCAAGGAAGCCCATCTGGGGACGGTGCTCCCCCCCTCCAAGAGGGGGCGTCAGAAACCCGGCGAATCTCCCGTGGGGACCGACGAGGAAGCACGCCCCGTTAGGTGGGGCTCAGAAAGCCGGCGTCCCATTCAGAGCTCAGAATCATCAGGGGTCATTCGGGTCAGGGCTAACTCGGGTTCGTTGTTCGGGAATCCGAACCGAGTTACCCCAGGCCCGAGCTACCCCGGATAATCCAGGCGTCCAGAGCCCCGAATCATCAGGGGTAGCTCGGGTCAGGGCTAATTCGGGTTCGTTTTTCGGGAATCCGAACCCGAGTTACCCCGAGCCCAAGTTACCCCGGATAACTCGGGCGCCCAACGTTAGATGGGGCTCAGAAAGCCGGCGCCCCATTGTTGTTGTTGTTGTTGCTGCCACCCTCGGAGGAGGGCTCCCGGCAGGCGCCGGCCTTGCTTGCGGAGGCCTCCTAGGATTTTGAACGTCCGCGGCGGGAGTTGGCGGGCGGGTGGAGGCATCCCCACTGCGACCACCGTCACAGTGCCCCCCCTGTGGAGGATTTCTCCGAAGGGCTTAGGCGACCCAGCCTCCTCTTCCTCCTCCTCCTCCTCCTCGTCCTTCTTCGCCTGCTCCTCCTCGTCCTCCTCTTCCTCCTACTCCTCCTCCTCCCTCCTCCTCCGCCTCCTCCGCCTCCTCCTCTTTTTCCTCCTCCCCCTCTGTTACTCCTCCTCCTCCTCCTCCTCCTCCTCCTCCTCCTCCTCCTCCTCCTCCCCTCCTCCTTCCCCTCCTCCCCGTTCCGCTCCCCCTTCCCCTCCTCCCCCTCCCCCTCCTCCTCCTCCTCCTTCTCCTCCTCCTCCTCCTCCTCCTCCTCCTCCTCCTCCTCCTCCTCCTCCTCCTCGGGTCGCCTGCGGCCCCGGGGGAAACCGTGCACCCCCCTGTTCTCCTTTGTCCCATTATTTGTGTTCCTCTCGCCGCCTTCCTGAGAAGGGGGGGCGAGGAGGGGGAGGGAGGAGAAGGATGAGGCGGCGGGAAAAGAGAGATGAGGGAAGGAGGGGACCGAGGGAGGAGGGAAGGAGGGGGGGGGACAAGCTAGGTGCGCTCGCGTCATATCTGACATCCTACCTCTCCCTCCCATCCCTTACCATGGCGTAGATCCCCTCTCTACTCGCACAGTTGGATGTCGAGCAGGGCAATGATCCCGAAAGGGTACGCGATGCATTGTAGAGCACGGCATGGCATGGCGTAGAAGAGCACCGCAAAGCGTAGTATGTCACAGCATGGCGTGGCGTGGCGTAGTGAAGAATTGCATCACAAAGCTTTGCAACACAAAGTATGGCATCGCACAGCGGTCCCGAACATCACATTGCATAGCATGGCGTTGAAGATCAAAGCGTAGCATGGCATAGCACGACGTGGCACTTAAGCACTGCATATCACAGCTTCAGCTGAAGACATGGCATCGCGCAGTGGAACGCAACCTAGCATTGCATTGCATGCCGTGGCATAGCACGGGAAATGACGCCAGCGCTGCAGCGGGAGCACGATTCGGAACGAGCGGAAGCGCGGAAATGAGGCCAGCGCTACAGCGGGAGCACGATTCGGAACGAGCGGGGCCCGCTAATGAGGCCGGCGCCTCAGCGAGAGCAGCATTTTGAAACAAAATGCAGGCGAAAACCCAACTCCGGGGAATCGTGTGTGTGTGTGTGTGTGTGCGTGTGTGTGTGTGTGTGTGTGTGTGTGTGTGTGTGTGTGAAAAAAAACAGTACGCGGGGGGGGGCGAACACCCCAAACACGTCATCAGGGGAAGAGGGAGTAGTATTCATATTGAGTAATTGTAGAGGGAGGAGGGGGGAGGGGGGGGGGGGGGAAAGAGGGATGAGGGAAGAGGAGAGGAGACGGGGGGGAAAGAGGGAGGAGGGATCGAGGGGGGGGGGAGGCAGAGGCGTCGGAGGTCGGGTCGCAAAGGCGGAGGACGAGGCCCCCGTCCTCCGCGTCCTCCCGCCCCCCTCGTTCCCCGTCTCCTGGCCGTCAGGCCGATCCTGCCCCTTGCAGGAGTCGGGGCTCTGACCTGTGACCGCCTTCCTTCTCTTCCCCCTCCTTCTCCGCGGGCTTCCGTGTTCGCGTGTGGGGGTGGGAGGCGCCGCGAGGGCGGAGGGGGACATGACGAGGACGAGCGGGCGGAGGGAGTGGAGGACGGTGGAGGTGAGAAGAGGAGGAGGAGGAGGAGGAGGAGGAGGAGGAGGAGGAGGAGGAGGAGGAGGAGGAGGAGGAGGAGGAGGAGGGGGGAGGGTAGGAGGAGGAGGAGGGGGGATGAGGGGTAGGAGGAGGAGGAGGAGGAGGAGGAGGAGGAGGAGGAGGAGGAGGAGGAGGAGGAGGAGGAGGAGGAGGAGGAGGGAGGGGGGATGAGGAGGAGGGGGGAAAAGGGAGGAGTAAGGAGGAAGGAGAAAGGAGGGGGAAGGAGGAGGAAGAGGAGGGAGGAGGGAGAGGGAGGAGGGAGGAGGGAGGAGGAAGGGGAGGAGGGAGAGGGAGGGAAGAGGGAGGAGGGAGGAGGAGGGAGGGAGGGAGGGAGGGAGGGAGGGAGGGAGGGAGGAGGAGGAGGAGGAGGAGGAGGAGGAGGACGGAGGACGGAGGAGGGAGGACGGATGACGGAAGACGGAGGACGGAGGACGGAGGAGGGATTGGAGTGGAGTGGAGTGGAGCCCGTTGCGGATGCAAGTTCGTCTCAACCTCAACCTTTAAAGTGTGCTCGACTTCCTGGCCGTCTTCTCGGCCTGGCTGAGGACTGGCGGCTTCAAACCAGCCGCAAGTCTGTCGAGGTATTCCCTTTGGGTCTTATTCATCTGCTCACGACACGGCTTGCTCAAGAGGCGATGTTGTTTCTCGGCTATGCCGCCACACAGCGTACAAAACCAGATTCGGAGGGTCGTGTGCACATTAAGGGGGTGGGTGGGATGAGCCCAATCCCCATTATAGGGATACGATCCCCCCTTTTCGGGGACATTCTAATACCATTCACAGTATAAAGCTGCGGGCACGGGGTGGGCCACCAGGCCTTCATACAAGCTTTGGTGGCGGAACTGTAACACTTTAGACACCTCTCTTTATCATCAGTGAGAGCATGGGGGGAGAGGAGAGAGGAGACAGCAGCAGCAGACGGAGGACGAGGAGGAAGGGTGAGGAGGAGGAGGAGGAGGAGGAGGAGGAGGAGGAGGAGGAGGAGGAGGAGGAGGATGGGGGGATGAGGAAGAGGGGGGAGGAGGGAGGAGTAAGGAGGAATGAGGAAGGAGGGGGGAGGATGGAGGAAGAGGGAGGATGGAGTAGGAGGAGGAGGAGGGAGGAGGGAGGAGGGAGGAGGGAGGAGGGAGGAGGAAGAGGGAGGAGGGAGGCGGGAGGGAGGGAGGGAGGGAGGAGGATGAGGAGGAGGAGGAGGAGGAGGAGGACGGAGGACGGAGGAGGGAGGACGGATGACGGAAGACGGAGGACGGAGGACGGAGGAGGGAGTGGAGTGGAGTGGAGTGGAGCCCGTTGCGGATGCAAGTTCGTCTCAACCTCAACCCTTAAAGTGTGCTCGACTTCCTGTCCTTCTTCTCGGCCTGGCTGAGGACTGGCGGCTTCAAACCAGCCGCAAGTCTGTCGATGTATTCCCGTTGGGTCTTATTCATCTGCTCACGACACGGCTTGCTCAAGAGGCGATGTTGTTTCTCGGCTATGCCGCCACACAGCGTACACAAACAGATTCGGAGGGTCGTGTGCACATTAAGGGTGTGGGTGGGATGCGCCCAATCCCCATTATAGGGATACGATCCCCCCTTTTCGGGGACATTCTAATACCATTCACATTATAAAGCTGCGAGCACGGGGTGGGCCACCAGGCCTTCATACAAGCTTTGGTGGCGGAACTGTAACACTTTTGACACCTCTCTTTATCATCAGTGAGAGCCTGGGGGGAGGAGAGAGGAGACAGCCGCAGCAGACGGAGGAGGAAGAGCAGGGGGAGGAGCAGCAGCAGCAGAGCGGCCTTTCCCTCCACGCGACCTCAGCCTTCTCCGAGGCTGCCATGCTGTCGACGGCTGCACGCAGCAGCCGTCTCCTGACCAACAGGGCCCGCCTCTCGTGCATGCCAGTGCGGTGGCGGTCAACCGACGGGACTCGGGCCTCTGCGGCCGCACAGCTCGCCAACTCGTCCACGACCGCGTTGCCAATCACGAGGCCTGGCACACCTCTGCCCTCGCTCAAGTCCTTGGCGGTGATGTGAGAATGAGTGAAGAGCACCACCACCTGCCTGCCCTCGACCTGCGTGCCGATGTCCCACCAAATATCTCCGTCGTCGCCCCACGGGGCCTGGAACTTCTTTTTGTACCATCCTTCTGCCACCACGTCACAACCTGTCACACATGTGATGGCCCCTGTCGTGCAACACAGGGCCATCTGGAAAGCCTTCAGCTCGCCCCTCGCCACTACCTGCCGCTGGCCTGCCAGCGGGCATGCCAAACACGATGGGCCTCGGGGCTCGTCATGTCGGTCATCCTCACTATGGCGACTCCAACTCGACGAAGCTTGTTGCACCCTGAATCCTCGCCACCGCTCGCGTCGCCACACACAAAGAGAGGATCCCTTTCGGGCCCACGGCCTATGCATCCCCGCTGGGCCTCGTCGATGCCCGCGTGCCACCACTGGTCCTCCGTGGGTGGCGGGGGCGCCGCGACCCATGCCGTCGGCAGGAGCCCACGCAGCCAGAACGCATCCGCCGTGTTGACCTGCGCTAACGCCTGGCCCACCAGCTCGTCGCTCATCTCGTAGGCCTTGGGGCCCCTGTTCGCCTCGCACTGCCAGTACCTATGGAGTGCCGTCTCCACTGGGGCCTGGCATCGGTCGCATATCGTATTCCCGCTGTACCTGGCCAGGCACAGTTGCTTCCTCTCTTTGGGCCAAGCTCCACCTGTCGCCACAGTCAGCATGACCTCGGCGAGCCTCGGCCCATCCTGCTGCTGACTCAAATCGAGGAGCAGGCGCCTGAACGACTCGTTGTCGGCCCCGTCCTGCATCCCGCCGCCGCAGTAGTGCCCCGATGCCTTCTGCCAGAGCTGCTTCCTGGCTGAAGCCTCCACGTCGGTCAAGATGCCCTTGTGCGTGTCGACCGCCTTGACCCCAGTGTAACTTGAATCTGGAAATTGCCAGTCTTCTGTCGTTCCGAACTCCCTTTGATATGACCACGTGTTGGGATCGGTCGGCTGCCACTTCAATCGCAACAACTGTAAGACCACTGCCGATATGGGTCTCTGCACACGCCTGACCTGGTCTTGCAAACTGCCGCCAATCTTCGGCCATACATGACGAATGTTGCGACGGATGTCAGGGTGAGCCTGCCACGTAGCCAACCAGAGATCCATAGTCCTTCTAGGATAGATTATCGCTGGATCCTGACCAGGGGCACGTAGGTCAAGCAGTGTCGTCAACCATCGCCCCTTGGTGGGGCTGGCGCACGTTTGTGCCAGACGTCGGCGACACTCGGTGACCTGCTGTCCGAACATCCCATGCACCTGGAAGCCGTACGTGCCCGTTGGTTGCCCCCCTGCCTTCTCGAGCCTCGAGGTTTGCTGGTGCGTCCTCGAGGCCCTAGAAAATCTCGTTATCTTGCCACTCATCTGCTTGTGCGTAAGGTC